ATTCATGATTGAGCATGAAAAATTTCATGCAACTTTATTATTAATGTTTTATTAATTTATTTATTAGTTTATTCATAAATGTATTTTATTTTTAATTCAAGGCATTTTTTAGCAGTTTTCTTCCCGCGTTTTTAAGGCATTTTCACGGTTAGACGTTTTCTGTTTTAGCCAATGGAATGCTGGTTATTAGGAAAGGGTAGATGGATGTTGGGTGCGCAAAACATGACATACGTGTCTTTTTCAGCTTCTCCCATTGTAGTCTCTGGGGTCAAAATTAGTAATTCTGCCCCCCCAAAGAAAAGCTTTTTTTTGGGGGGGGGGCAACAAGCTCAGACCCCATTCATCCCTGGGCGGTAATTATGAGAGGGGGTATTGTGCCGGTTGACACCAAAATGACTCGCAGTCATTTTGGTGTCACCCCCCTCTGAAAAGTCAGGCGCTCGGTCATGGACCAAACGCCCGACAGTATCAGCAGAGAGGAGGGGACCCGGCGGCATACCTTATCCCGCCGGGTGACTGTTCCCTCCTCTCTCTGCCGGCGTCCATCACCAAGAGATGGCCGCCGGTATCAGAATACTGCCGCGTGTGCGCGATGACGTCATCACGCAGTGTCTCGGCGGGGTGACACTCGGTTACCGCTCCGGGTGTCACCCAGCCTCGGGACGCCCCTGAGTGGCTCTATACCTGTGTAAACCTTAGGACCCACATTTGTCCTCGGTCATTAAGTCGCGACCCAAGTCGCACTGTAATGGAACGCACGGCATTGCGGTACTGCACTTTCCAGTGCGGGCAATTGAATTGTGGGTGGGAGGTATGCTTGGGGTGACATTCAAATGAAACGTGACGTCATTCTGGTCCAGACACCTCTACAGAAGATGTGAGGAAGCTGTAAGCGTTGCATGTATGTATGGAATTCCCTGGCCATAGCTCCACCCCACCTTAAGCTGACACTCGGCGCCGTGCAGCATATTTTGAATGGCTGCTTGGTGCGAGAACTGACAGTGCTGCGCAAGGAGGAGGCTGAGGAGCCTCTCACCTAGAAAAGTGGAAGGCACGCGGTGACCCACTGAACACAGGGTCGCGACCCGCTTTTGGGTCACGGCCCACCAGCGGAGAACCAAGGCTTTAGATGACACGCCCACCTTTCAGCCCAATCAGTTGCAGCAGGGGCATCCCCCACAGCACAGCCATATATCACAAGGGATGGCTAATGCCCCTGCTGCAGCTGATTGGGCTGGGAAGGGGGTTACAGTTGCAGTTTTATACAGGCTTGGGCGACTTAGGAGGACTGGGTCTGCACCGAGTCCCCCCGCACATCGCTACTTAGCCTATTGTAGTGCCTTTCCTTAAGCGCGACAAAGCTCAACATTGTCTCCAATGGCCCCTGTCCACATTCTGTCTCTCGTAGCCCAATGTCTGTAGCTAAAAAAAAAAATGTACATGAGCTTTTTGTGCAACTTTTTGGGCCCATAGGCTTAATGGGAGTGCCCGAAAATCACTTGAAAGCATATTTCCTATTCCCGTTTTGAGGTGCTCCCATGTAAAAAGCTATGGGGTAAAAAATTAATGAATATGCTCCTGTCGTGCGTGAAAGACACGCAAAGAAGTGTGCAAAAAAACAGCCTCTGAATCCCCTGGAAACACTGATGCTTAGTCCCCGTTCACACCTTCGCCTTTCCGTGAATGGGTGCAAAATGCACGCATTGAGGCGTGTTCACGTAACGCGTCAAAGGTGTGCAGTGCACTTGTGGTGCCATTACTTGTTAATGGGACTCCAAACGTGGGCAGGAAAATGCGATTTTTTTGACGCATGTGGACACTCAGGACAATGCACATCAACACGTGTAGCACCCATTGAAATCAATGGGCAACGTGCAGCAAACATGGGGGAAAATGTGCACAAGCACGCGTGAGCGTGATACATGTTCACGGTACGCTGAGGTGTGAACGTGGACTTAGGGGTGAATGGGGTCTCAGGTGTGAAGGGCACCAATGAAAATAATGAGATTCTTCCATGTGGAGCGTTAAACTGGCCACACACCTATAGATTCTCTGCAGACTTTCTAGGGTCAGATGGAAAAAGTGCAACAGATTACGCTAAACTGTGTGGATGGAGGCAGGGGCATCCCGAGGCTGGGTGACACCCGGATCAATTACTGGGTGTCAACCCGCTGTGACGTCCTCGCGCATGTGCGGTGATCTTCTTGATACCTGCCGGTGGCCATCTTGGTGATGGACGCCGGCAGAGAGAGGAGGGAACAGTCACCCGGCGGGATAAGGTATGCCCCTGGTCCCCTCCTCTCTCCTGATACTGTCGGGCGCTTGGTCCACGGCCGAGTGCCCGACTCTTCAGGAGGGCGTCAGTCATTTTGACTGTCAGTCATTTTGGTGTCACCCCTCCAATGGTGGCACCCAAGTGTGGGGGCTGCACCCTCCTTGTGACGCCACTGGATGGAGGAATCTCCCACTGGGCCAAGCTACAGTATCTTGCTAGTCGGCCCCGCTGGCTGTCAAAATACCTGAACCATCTGATTGGGTGCCGGCATTGTTCAGGTGTTTTGACAGCCAGCGGGGCCGACAATTATCTGCAGATTTTCTGTGGTCAGATGGAAAAAGTGCAACAGATTCCTCCATCTACACTAAACTGTGTTGATGGAGGAATCTCCCCCCTGGGCCAATCTGTTGCACTTTTTCCATCTGACCCTAGAAAGTCTGCAGATATTCTATAGGTGTATGGCCACCTTAAGAGTGTTTTCAGGAAACGCTCAGCTGTGATCGGGGGGACAGGATACCTTCTTCAGGCTTTAGACCCCATTCACACTGAGCGACATGACAAATCGTGCGTTTTTCCGCACGATTT